TGAATTTCCATTTATTAGTGTCCTCTATAATTTCTCTTAAGAGTGTCTTGTAGTTCTCAGGGTATAGGTCTTTCACTTCCTTGGTTAGGTTTATTCCTAGGTATTATATTCTTTTTGATGCAATTGTGAATGGAATTGTTTTCCTGATTTTTCTTTCTGCTAGTTCATCATTAGTGTATAGGAATGCACTGTGTATTCATTTTGTATCCTGCAACTTTACTGAATTCAGATATTAGATCTAGTAGTTTTGGAGTGAATTATTTAGGGTTCTTTATGTACAATATCATGTCTTCTGCAAACAGGGACAGTTTAACTTCTTCCTTGCCAATCTGGATGCCTTTTATTTCTTTGTGTTGTCTGATTGCCGTGGCTAGGACCTCCAGAACTATGTTGAATAGAAGTGGGGAGGGTGGGCATCCTTGTCTTGTTCCCTGTCTTAAAGGAAAAGCTTTCAGTTTCTCACTATTAAGTATGATGCTGGCTGTGGGTTTATCATATATGGCCTGTATTATGTTGAGGTACTTGCCCTCTATACCCATTTTGTTGAGAGTTTTTATCATGAATGGATGTTGAATTTTGTCAAATGCTTTTTCAGCATCTGTGGAGATGATCGTGTGGTTTTTGTCCTTCTTTTTGTTGATGTGGTAGATGATGTTGATAGATTTTTGAATGTTGTGCCATCCTTGTGTCCCTAGAATAAATCCTCATTGATCATGATGGATGATCTTTTTGATGTATTTTTGAATTCAGTTTGCTAATATTCTGTTCAGTGTTTTTGCATCTATGTTCATCAGGGATATTGATCTGTAATTTTCTTTTTTGTGGTGTCTTTGCCTGGTTTTGGTACTAGAGTGATGCTGGTCTCATAGAACAAATTTGGGAGTATTCCCTCCTCTTCTACTTTTTGGAAAACTTTGAGGATGGGTATTAAGTTGTCATTAAATGTTTGATAAAATTCAGCAGTGAAACCATCTGGTCCAGGAGTTTTGTTCTTAGGTAGTTTATTTATTACCAATTCAATTTCTTTGCTGGTAATTGGTCTATTCAGATTTTCTGTTTCTTCCTGGGTCAGCCGTGGAAGGTCATATTTTTCTAGAAAGTTGTCCATTTCCTTTAGGTTATCCATTTTGTTAGCATATACTTTTTCATAGTATTCTCTCATAATTCTTTGTATTTCTGTGGTGTCTGTACTGATTTTTCCTTTCTCATTTCTGATTCTGTTTATGTGTGTAGGCTCTCTTTTTTTCTTGATAAGTCTAGCTCGGGGTTTATCTATTTTGTTTATTTTCTCGAAGAACCAGCTCCTGCTTTCATTGATTCTATTATTTTATTCTTCTTGATTTTATTTATTTACACTCCAATTTTTATTATGTCCCTCCTTCTACTTATTTTGGGCCTCATTTGTCCTTCTTTTTCTAGTTTCATTAATTGTGAGTTTAGACTGTTCATTTGGAATTGTTCTTTCCTGAGGTTGGCCTGTATTGCAATATACTTTCCTCTTAGCACAGCCTCACTGAGTCCCACAGATTTTGCAGTGTTGAATTACTGTTGTCATTTGTCTCCATATATTGTTTGATCTCTGTTTTAATTTGGTCATTGATCTATTGATTATTTAGGAGCATGTTATTAAGCCTCCATGCGTTTGTGGGCTTTTCTGCTTTCTTTGTGTAATTTATTTCTAGAGTCATACCTTTGTGATCTGAGAAGCTGGTTAGTACAATTTCAGTCTTTTTGAATTTACTGAGGCTCTTTTTGTGGCTTAGCATATGATCTATTCTTGAAAATATTCCATGTGCACTTGAGAAGAATGTAATGTGTATCCTGTTGCTCTTGGATGGAGTGTTCTGTAGATGTCTATTAAGTCCATCTGTTCTAATACATTGTTCAGTGCCTCTGTCTCTTTATTTTCTGTCTGGTTGATCTGTCCTTGGAGTGAGTAGTGTGTTGAAGTATCCTAAAATGAATGCATTGCATTCTATTTCCCCCTTTAATTCTGTTAGTATTTGTTTCACATATGTAGGTGATCCTGTGTTGGGTGCATAAATATTTATAATAGTTATATCCTCTTGTTGGACTAAGCCCTTTTTATCATTATATAATGTCCTTCTTTGTCTCTTGTTACTTTCTTTGTTTTGAAGTCTATTTTGTCTGATACAAGTACTACAACTCCTGCTTTTTTCTTCCTATTAGTTGCATGAAATATCTTTTTCCATCCCTTTACTTTTCAGTCTGTGTATGTCTTTGGGTTTGAAGTGAGTCTCTTGTAGGCAGCGCATAGACAGGTCTTGTTTTTTTATCCATTAAGTGACTCTATGACTTTTGATTGGTACATTCAGGCCATTTATATTTAGGGTGATTATTGATAGGTATGTACTTATTGACATTGCAGGCTTTAGATCTGTGGTTACCAAAGGTTCACGGGTAATTCCCCTACTATCTAACAGTCCAAGTTAACTCACTTAGTATGCTATTACATACACAATCTAAAGGTTCTTTTTTTTTTTCCTCCTTTTTCTTCCTGCTCCATTCTTTATATAATAGGTATCATATTATGTACTCTTTGTCTATCCCTTGATTGACTTTGGGGGTAGTTGATTTGATTTTACATCTGCTTAGTAATTAATTGTTCTACTTTGCTGTGGTTTTATTTCCCCTGGTGACAGCTGTTTAGCCTTAGGAATACTTCCATCTATAGCAGTCCTTCCAGAATGCACTGTAGAAGTGGTTTGTGAGTGATAAATTCTCAGCTTTTGTTATCTGAAAATTTCTTAATTCCCCCTTCAAATTTAAATGATAACCTTCCAGGTAGAGTATTCTTGGTTCAAGGCCCTTCTATTTCATTGCATTAAATATATCATGCCACTCCCCTCTGGCCTATAAGGTTTCTGTTGAGAATTCTGATGATAGCCTGATGGGTTTTCCTTTGTATGTGATCTTTTTTCTCTCTCTAGCTGCTTTTAAAAGTTTGTCCTTATCTTTGATCTTTACCATTATTATTATTATATATCTTGGTGTTGTCTTCCTTGGGTTCCTTGTGTTGGGAGATCTGTGTACCTCCATGACTTGAGAAACTATTTCCTTCCCCAGATTGGGGAAATTTTCAGCAATTACCTCCTCAGTGACACTTTCTATCCTTTTTTCCTCTCTCTTCTTCTTTTGGTACCCCAATAATGCGAATATTGTTCCATTTGGATTGGTCACACAGTTCTCTCAATATCCTTTCATTCTTACAGATCCTTTTTTCTTTCTGTGCCTCAGCTTCTTTGTATTTCTCTTCTCTAATTTCTATCCTGTTTACTGTCTCTTCTACTACATCTAATCTGCTTTTAAATCCCTCTATTGTATGTTGCATTTCAGGTATGGAATTTCTCAATGACTGAATCTCAGTCCTAAATTCATCCCTGAGTTCTTGAATATTTTTCTGTACCTCCATGAGCATGTTTATGATTTTCATTTTGAACTCTCTTTCAGGAAGATTGGTGAGTTCAGTTTCATTTGGCCCTTTTCCTGAGGTTTGTGAGATTTTGGTGTGAACCAGGTTCCTTTGACATTTCATATTTCTATGTGGTGCCCTCTAGTGCCCAGAAGCTCTAGTCTCTGGAGCTGCTCAGCCCCTGGAGTGAGGTCGGGGGTTGCAGGGGAGCAGTGCTGGTGCCTGGGGGCAGAAAAGAGCTGTTTCCTGCTTCCCAGCTGCAGTGCCTGTCTCCAGTGTCAGAGCCAGTGGGCCTAGCACACAAGTGTAAGCCTCTGTGCTTTGCATCTGTAGCTGTCATAGGCAGGGCCTCCCCCTGGCTGGCCTGACGCCAGTGCAGTGACTGCCGGTTTGTGAGCTGCTGCCGGCAGGCCAGGAGGAAGGCATATTGGCTGCATATCAAGGTGGGGGGCCTTGGAGCTGAGCATCCAGCCAGGGGAATGGAGTGCCTGAAGCTCCTGAAAGTTCCCAACCTGCTGCGCAGAGCGCGCCCAGACAACCTTGTCCACCTTTCCCTTCTCCTGCGCGGCAAGCTCTGTGTAAACCCCGCCCCTTCAGCAGCCCTCTCACTGCAAGTAAGCCTCTCAGACCGCCTGCCTTTCCTTTGTCCCAGAGTGGCCAAATGTGGATCCCTGTCCTCCACAAATGACTGGAATCTCAGTCTTTCAAGTATTCCACCTGCCTTAGCTTTCCAACCCCACTAATCTCCAGAGCACCATGCAATGTACGTTTGTGCTCCAAAGCTGATCTCCAGGGCTGGGTGCTCAGCAGTTCTAGGCTTCCAACCCCTCCCCACTCTGTTTCTCTTCCTCCCACCAGTGAGCTGGGGTGGAGGAAGGGCTTGGGTTCCGCTGGATCAAGACTTTGGTATATTACCCTGTTTCATGAGGTCCGCTCTATTCTCCAGGTGTAGGCAGTCTGCTGCAGCCTTCTTTCCTGTTGCTCTGTTAGGATTAGTTGTATTAACTATATTTTTGTATTATATGTGGTTTTGGGAGGAGTTCTTTCTCTCACCTTTCACACTGCCATCTTGAATCTCCTCTTTCTCTCCTGAGACATTACTTTTTATACAATTAATATTTAAATTTGTTCACCCTTTAGTGGATAATTCTTTGTTCACTATTCCTTCTTGCTTCTCAAATGTTTACACATCAACTTGTTTTTCCCTTCTCTACTTTGGAAGTTTTTTTAGGTACAGGGATCTAGTGGCAATGAACTCCATTTTTGTTTGCACATTTTTGCAACTGTAGGATTTTCTGTCTTCCAACTATGATCACAGAAGCAGCATTTAAACATCTAAATCACCACCCATCACAGGTGCCTGGTGCTTCTGGACTGAAGAAGCCTGTGAGCTTTGCTGTGTACTTTCTCGGGCTTTCCTCGTGGCGAATGTAAGGCTACAGTGTATTGAGAAGAATGAAACTCCAGACAGAAATACAGGCTCACTAATGACACCCGACCATTCTATGTACCACAAAGAAACCTGAAGAGTGTGGAATTGGAATAGAAATTGATTCAGATACAGCACTTAAAACCAAGGGGACTCATGCTTTAATAGACACTGAAATCACAAAGGAAGGCCAAGTGCCTTAGCAATCTCAATAAAAATATGAAGTTCTTTTTACATGGTAAATTTCAGAATATAAAAAGTTTAATGCCATCTGGAAACTGTGTAATTTACAAAAGAAGTCCACATAGGCCAAAGACGGCTAACACTGCATACAAGGGGTGTGAGTGCCAAGTGGGGAAGGCGTCTGAGGAGGGGAGAGGTAACCACGCGGGTCCTTACATGGAACATCTTTGAAGGATCTGGCACAAACAAGGGCCCAGTTCACAAACCACATGTACAATCATTTTTAGATAAAACAACAAAAGAGGTGGTGAAAATTATACAATTTTTATTTTCTGCCTACTTACTAAAAGTAAACCAGATTATTGCATGGCGTTTCTTCCAACCTGAACTGAAACTAACAAAGTGACAGTTCTCTTTGCAATGGGAGGCAATGGGACAGGCAACGTACTGGGGACTTGCCGCAGTGACCACCTGCTGGGGTCCATGGGAGAAAGCAAAGCAGTACAAGTCCCTGGGTGCAGCACTTTATCTCCTGCTGGGACCCAGCAAGCATCGGTGTGGACTGTGAGCTTTTGCAGTGGGTGGAGGTGAGAGCTTTGTTGTCTCACTTCATACAAATATAAATTTTAAAAAAATGTAAGTTTTAGCTATTTTTGTCTTGGGATATTGACTTAATTAAAGCCAGTGAAGAAGCTGAGTAGTGCACTGGTGAGAGTTAAGACAGGGTCTACAACCTTACTTTCCAGTCATACGGAGTTTCTAAGAGACGATTTTATTGCTTGTGTTCAGTGTGTTTGCATCTGGTGGAGTACAGGTGGGTCAGGGCTTTCCAGTTTCCTGAGCTGAAAACAACATATATCCAATGTTCTCTGCATCTGGTGAGGAAAAATAGTTTTGTACATTTTACCCACATCCACTGACTCCTTCCAAGTGGGGCAAAAAGCCAAGGACTAAACAGGAATCACTCGCTTCTACCCACATGGCTCTGGGTTCCCATGCATGCCAGTCAGTTTTATCCACAGTCTGACACTCGCTTCCCCTAGACTGTAGAGACAAAACCTTTAACTGTGTTCTCTGCCGCCTATACCGGGTGTCAGCAAACTTTCTCCTAAAAGGCCAGGCATTAGACAGCTTAGGCTTTGTGGGCCAACAGGCAAAGCCAAGAATATTGTGTAGGTACACAGAGAACTATTTAAAATTGTAAAATCCATTCCCAGCTCAAGGCCATAAAAAACCAGGCCTCCGACCTGACTCAGCCTGTGGGTCATAGTTTACCGACCCCTGATCTGTACAAAGAGATCTGTGAATTACACATCTTAGATAATTTTTAAGTGCATACTTTTTTCAGTGTAGCCTGAAAAGTTTGATTTTACATCCATTTTACTCATAGAAAACACCCAGATTGACAGTAAACAAAGAAGTGGTGAGTCTACAGTGATTTTTTTTTAAATCCTGTAATTTCATCATCTTTGCTTTTTCATTGAAGCTTATATCTAGGACAAAAAAAAAATCACATATACCATTTGGCTTTGCAACATGAAACTTGAATAACAATGTACTTAGGACTGCAACTAGGTTAGGATCCACAAGTCCTCCTAGCTGGCTTGGTAACCACGGAAGTGGTCAGGATGGTGGAGGGCGCGCACTAGAGGCGGGCAAACGGGTGGCGCACAGACCCCGGCCCTTTTCTCCAGGGCTCCTTGGCACTTGGGAAGGAGGCTGAGGTTTGCTGAGAAACAGCCTATCTACATATAGATTCAGAAATTTACTTTGAGGCTTAGTCTTCTTTGCAGAGGACCTGATTTTGCTATCTAAATGCACAGTGCTATAAACTTGGCTTTCATTTGCTACTCTGGTACTTTTATTACCATTTATTTTTTTCCCTACTGACATAAAGACCACCTCATAATTGCTCGCTTTTTATAAAAAGTATTTCTCTTCCAGTGTTTGGATCAGGGTTAGAATGGGATCATCCTTATTGTTTGCTTTCATCAGCATAGCTGTTGGGTCAAATGCAAAAACCTCTATGACATAGCTCAGGAGAATAACACAAAAACTGAATAAATATCATCCTTCCCTCTTAGAGTACACTGAGGAACGGGGCAAGTGGTCAGAGTGTGTTTATAAAGTGAGCTCTTACCCAAGGTTACAGACTCCACCTGGGGGTCTTAGGTTAGGGTCCCTCCTGCCAGGCCCCTTGTGCCCACTCCATGTGTTGCTGGGCCAAGTGGCTGTCCACTTTTGTGTGATATACCCTCACAGTGGGGATGGTAGGATTTTAATTTTAGAATTAGCAAAAAGCGGTTTATTTAAATTCTCCAAACTAAACTTAGTACTGATAGGACTTTCAGCATTTTATTTCTTTATTGAAATAAGTTAATGGTTTCTGCTACCTGTTCTTTTGTCACGTCCCAGCTGGCAACAGTTTCAGTGTACTGTCACAGCCATACAACACTTTCAAAGACAACACTTTCAGGGACGTCTGTTTCCCTCTTCAGCAATAATCTGGGTGTAGATCCCAGCAACCACCCCCACACCCCCTGCTTCTCAGGCTGCCAACATGAAAGTCTGTGAGAGGGGAGGGGGCTTGTCCTTTGGACTGCAGGAGCAAGGGGCGTGGTCACAGCTAAGATGAGGGTCCATACGCAGTTCACTGATACGGGGTGCTGGGATTGTGGGGACCTGGCAACAGATTTAGATAGAAGAGGTTTTAGAGGCCTGGAGCTGGGAAAAAGAGAATAAACCTAAGCAGCTAATAAAGGTAATAGGAGCTGGAAGGCTAGATCTTAGTTAAATCTAGTTAGCCATGGAATTGTTTTTTTAATTTTTTTATTTTTTTGCTTGCTTGTAAGAAAACTGGATAGTTTTAACCTTTCCCCCCCAAACTTGATAAAATTACTTGTTGTTGACTATTCAAAATTTGACATTTAAAAAATTTTTGAGCCTTTAAAAATAATAGCTATAAATGCAAAGTACTATTGATAGTAAAACCAAGTTGTTTGCCCACGTACAAAAAAGGTCAATAATGTTTTAAAAGCACAAAGTTGCATTTTAAATCTTAATTGCATAGTTCTAAATGCCTGGGTAAGAGTTGAGTTACATAAATTTTTTTAAGAAAATTCAAGTTTGGTTGACTGTGGAGCCCCAAGGACATTTGTAGAGCTTGGGGGAGCAGAGTTCAGCATGGAAGCACTGTTTAGACATGAATTATTGCGTGTTATTGTGGTGTTACAATATCATGAGACCAAAATTGCTACAATTATATAAATCATTGGCATTTTTAAAACCATTGTTGTTTTTGGCTGATACAACACTTTCATGTAGAATTCAACTCTGATTTTACATATCCAACGCCCAACCAGCACCTGAAAGCCGTAAAAAAAGCTCTCTTTGTACTTATGTGTATAAAAGGTACTGCATATATACCTCTTAGCAAAATATGTGCTCCCTTTCCTCTCCCCACCCCAGAACCAGGACCATCTTTGTACAAAAATCCTGTGAAGAATCACATCAAAAATGAGAAGCAGGGAGTTCAAGGTAAACATTGGATGAAGTGTGTAGAAAATTCCATGAACCTGTACCAACCCCACAGAAATCCTGGCTTTTGGTGAATCTGGCCCAGAGGCACCACCAGCTGTGTTTGTGGTGGCACCCGGGCGGGTGGTGCCCGGGGAGCGCGCCCACCGTGAGGTGGCCAGCGGCCGAGTGGGTGACGGACCTCAGACAAGGGAGTGCAGAGCGAGCGCCGTGCCCACCCGCGGCTGCTGCACCCAGAGTTAGTGTGTACAAAAGACGCTTTAGCACTTGGAGGAGGGAAAAAATCTTCCCGGGGACAGAAACTTGTAGCCGTTTCCAGAAGGAAGTCTCAAAGGGCGCGTGGGGGGCGCAGCAGGAGGGCTGGCGGGCAGTGTGCTCAGCGCAGTGGTCTCCGAGCGCCAGTGGCCATTGGGAGGCGCTTTCGGTGGTGTTTCTCCAGGTTGCTGCAAAGACAGCTCCTTAAGTTCAAGCTTGTCTACTCCTTCCTCCTTCTTGTGGTGCCGAGGTGACAAGTTTAATAGACTGAGGACATCTCTTTTGGAAGTCATGGTTCCAGGGGCCCCCCGGAATATTTTCATGGGTCCTGTGGAATGCTGGGGTGCGCTCTGCCAAAACATCTTCAGGTTATGGACTGCCTGCACTTTCTCATCGATGGCTGCCATTTTCAGTTTGTCTATGTCAGGAGCGTCAGCCGGACTCGAGCGAGCAGAACCGGCTGAGGAATAGGAGAGAGCTGGGGAAGGTGCACTGCCAGCAGGAGACTGGTGGCCTGAGCTTGGGGACGTGTTCCTTGGTGATTTGGAAATATGAGCACTGTAAGGAGAGCTGGGGTACTTCAGTTTGAAGAGAGGCTGGTCGGAGAGGGAAGTCTGGGAGTCGGAGCCAGGCGACGGCCGGCCACTGTGCTGGCTCGCGCTGTCCTTGTTGGAGGCCTCCGAGGTGGTGGGGCTGCTGTATCCTGAGCTCACCTTGGGGAGGGAGGAGCTTCTGGCTGGGGGCTTTGGTTTAACAGGAAGTGGCGATGGCTGACTCTTCTGGTGGGAGAGCGCAGGCCTGCTGAACGCACTGGTCTCTGATGCTCTGAACACGGCAGCGCTGTTTGGCACGGAAATGCCATCCTCAGAATTATTACTCTTGCTGGTCGGACCGCCGCCCCTGTGAAGACGCTCCACTGCAATGAGATGACTTTGTGTCTCCTCTAGAATTTTCTGGGCCAGCTCTTGTGGATCAAGCTTTGGATTGCTTTCTTCTTGGGACTTCACAGTACTGTCTGTTTCTGTGCTAGACTGGTCTGATTCTCCTGTATCTGAACTTGCTAGTTTTCCAACCTTTTGGAAGGGTGAGTTTGGGCTGGGAATCAAGGTCATTTTAACTGGAGAGTTTGGAGTGCTTATGCTCCCCTTGGAGCTTAGGGAAACCTTCATACCTCCAGCTGTCCCGACTTGGGGCTGTTTGTGATCTGGTGAGAAGCGTGTCTTTCTGTTTTCTTGGTAGGCTGCCAGAGGCTCAGTACTGATAATGGAAAACCCTTCGTATTCTTCCTCGTCTTTGCTGCCTGTAGGGCGGGTCTCAGGGGACAGCTGGCTCCGAGGCAGGGTGGCTCGCTGTGGGTAAGCATTCTTGGACCGGTCATAGTCCTGCCGTCCTCGGGGGCCCCCACCTTCTGACCCACCCTCAGGCTTGGAGACAAAGCTCATTGAAGAGGCGATGGAGCTTAGGCTGTACACAGATATGGCATCTGAGGCAATGCTGTCCGCACCGGTGGGGGAGAAGGGTGGGTGCTGGTAACCCAGAGGCAAGGCATTGGAGACGGACTGGGCTGAGGCCAGAGACTCCAGGGAAGATGAGCTGTCAAGGCTGAGGCGCTTGGGCAGCTCAGTAGAATCTAAGACAAATCAGAGTGCCCAGAGGGCAATTAGAATTCTATATGGTTTTGGTTTTTTCAAAATCATAAGCATCCTTCTATGCATAGAAGCTAGCAAAGATATTACGTGAGTGTTACTTAGACACAAGTTGAATTCATCTTGTAATCCTGAGAAGCACAGTCCTGTTGGAAAAGTAACTGTACAGAGGGAGAGAAACATCCTTAGACAACTGACAGCCCAGTAAGCCACAGACCCTGCCCACATCCACCTCCTGCTCTGACCAGGCCTGAGGACTGTGGCAGTCTGTGATGTCCCCTGCCCTCAGACACACCCACCATCCGTGCCAGCTGTGGCCACCTCGCTTCACACTCCAGCAACCTCCTGGGAGTCATGTACACTCACTCTCTGTGCCTCTCCTCCCGCCCTCTCCGAGCCCACTCCACTGCGCTCCAAATCCAGTGACCCTGCTCACACGGGATCACCCCATCCTCACTGCGCCTTCCCAGGCCCTCTTCCTCCCCTCAGACCTGTGTTCACATTGCTATCTCCAGGCCAGCTTCTCCCTTAACTTCAAACTCTCATAACCAGCTGCCTAGGTAGGTGTCTAATGGTTATCCCAAAAATGAATGAGTCCAAGATGGCACTCAAACCCATCCCTCCTGCCACTGTCAGGGTCTCAGCAAAAGGCAGTCCCATTCTGGCAGCCCCGAACAATGGTACCAACTGGGACCTCCTTCTGTCCGACGCACATGCTTCAGCAGATCCTGTTGGTTCTGCCTGCAAACCACAGCCACCGTCTGGGCCTGCATGTAGTCTCAGAACCACAAGCTGGGCCTCCAGCTTAGCGTTCTGAGAATGTCAGGCAGGTGAGCCCCCAGGGTCCCAAGAACAGCCGCCCGGGTCCCCCACCCTTCCTCGGTTCCGGCAGCTCTGCCGCCTTGTCTCATGTTCCAGTCCCACACTTGGCAGCACGTCGTCTGATAAGTACACGTATTCTCACTCTAAGTTCCCTGAGAGGGCTGTTTACTGCTCTCGAACAGCCCCTGATGCACACACAGAAAACGGTTATTCAGTTTTCTTGCCTTTCCCCAAACGCAGCCAGATGTGTGCTGGCGTCTGTTCCCAGGGGCGCCCACGAGGGCCGCGCTGGGCAAGGCTCTTACCGAAGAGGGCGAGCAGGGACTGGAGCGCAAAGTGCACGGTCCGCCGATTGGCTTGTTTCCCGGTTTTCAGGATTACTTCCTCCTGACCAACCTCACAGAGATCAAAGCCTAGAGGAACAAATCAGAGGAACATCCACTTCCTTAGGGAAGAGTCCGTATCCTGAAAAGGATGAGAGCTCTGGGGCTCCTCTCCCATCTCTGGGGAACCCTGCAGGCCCTCGGCAAGCACCCTGCCAGGGGTCCCCAGGGGCCAGCGTGGGCACTGGTCAGGGCTGTGGACACCGTACGGTCCCCCATCCCCACTAGCTGTGTCCACCCAGCTACGTTCTCCAGACCTGAGCGCTGGAATTACTAAGGCTCGCTAACATTTGTTGTTTTCTCCATTCCGTGGCAGAATAGGCCCCTGCAGGAGGCTGTCCGGGACAAAAGCTGGCCACTCCACTCCGCGCTGGGTCTAATGTTCAAAGCCACGCACGGGAAGGTGGAAGCTTCTCAAGGGCAAGGCTGCTGTCTTTACGTGTTGTTAGTGTTTGCCACCAAAGGCTTTGAAAAGCGCTCCCTCCAGAGATGAAGAATCTGCTTTCTGGCCTAACCACCACTCTGCCCAAGCCCCGGGGGCTGCTTCCTGAGCCTCGGGGTTCCAGTGAGACTTGGAGCAGGTGTGACAGAGGGCGTGAGCCTCCTGAGCAAGAGGCTGGCTAACGAGCAGTCGCCGCAGCCCTTGGGCTTGAGAGACGTGACAGAGGTGCCACAGAGGCGCCGCACACACACCTTCCTGGAAGAGCCTGCCAGATGCCTGTGCTCCCAGGCCTCTCAGTGCTGCGCGGCCTACACGCTGTGCATCTCCTGACAGAGGTCACGAAGGAGACGTTTATCTGTATTTGTATTCCTCCTCAAGGATTCTGACGTTGGCCTAATGCTATCATTCCCTTGGGAATTAGGTTCACTTAAGGAGGCAATTAGCATTCTGGCTGCTATGGGACATTGTCCTCTCTGAACTCAAAAACAGACAGCTCCTGAAAGCAACTACTGGAAAGTCTCTGAGAACACGGCCTTTTAAAATATAAATGTAACGTTTTAGTTAGAAATCTCAACCTTTACCAAAATGGTCTGAATTGGTTGCTTGAATAGAACTGACTCCCCTCCGTCACCGACAGCCACGCGAGGCCTTGGGCCAGATGCCGCCCCAGAGCGGACGGTCCACGAGCCTTGGAGCTCTCAGTAAGGGAGCGGCTTTCTCCCCAGTCTCAGTCCAGAGGATGTAGTGACTGTAAGTATGTGCACACCGATTCAGCGCTGACTATCTGTGGGACTTGGGAAGTACAGGACCATCAACCAAAATCTCCCCCAGTCCCAGGACCAGAGACAGCCAGTGATGCCCTGGCAAACCTCCAGCTCACAAGAGGAGGGCCCGCGGCCCCAGGAGGCTCAGGCCCTGCAGCCTGCCAGGGAAGGGAGAAGAGACCCATCCTGGGGGTGGACCTGGCCTCACTTCTGCTCCATGTGCTGACCATAGCTGCTTAGATGTAAATGTGTTCATTTTCAGCAGGAAGACTGCTTTAAGTCTACAGAAACAAGCAAATAGTACAAATTGCAAAGGACATGGAAGCATCTACTCCTAGGGGCCTCAGAGCCCATGTGGAGCTCTGTGAGTCTCCCTCTTTACCTTCAAAACCCAAAGGAGCCAGCCCTAAATTGCGGTGGGCTGGGAAAGGGCTCCTCAACGCAGGTTAGAAAAGACGGCCCAAACTGAATACCGAGGCTTCACAAGGAGAAGAAAAATTCCTTTTTAAGGCCTTGTTGCCCTGCCATGTCTGATGGCTGTTCCCTGTGAACTCAGTGGATTCAGGCTGTGTCACCTCCAGAGCCCCCCACTCCCTCAGGTCCACGGGCCTTGCCTCGCCTGCTCCCTTGCCCTGCGCACTGCAGCGTGGGCCTCACACTCACCAGAGGCTCTTCCCTCCGAAACACCCACAGGCTCTCTGGGCCTGCCTGACTCCCTGCCTCCCACCCCTCTACCACTGTCTGTCACAGTGCTCCCCCGAAATGAGATATTTTGTCTGTCTTCCCCAGTGGAATGAAAATCCCAAGTGGACAGGGCATTTTGTCCTTTGCTCACTGCTGTATCCCTCGTGCCTGGAACACTGCTTGGCACATAACAGGTGTTCAACAAAAAGCTTGTGAAGTGAGTGACTCCCAAGCAAGTCACAGGCACTGAATGAGGCAGAAGGAGGGCAGCTTACAGCCTCTTGCATTTTATTTAAAAATGCACCTGTTGTAAGTAAGTAACAGTTATGTCGGGAGCTGTCTCAGCTGCATTACCGGCTGAAAAGGCAGAGTGAGTGTCCGGGACTGAAGGATCCTGGTGAATGCACTTTGTCCCCAAGGTCAAATCCAAGGTGATGTCAATCATTTTTTTCTGCCAGTTTCCAGTACCCGGTGACAGACCGATATTGAAATCATTACTTGATGACTTAAGCTTGACTCCTAACAGTACTGGAATCCAGCAGATTCATAGTAAGGTGATGACTACAAATGAGGGAGATGAAATCATAGCGTAGGGGAGATGGGGCAAAGCTGGAGGGCCATTTAATTGTGCTAAAGCACTGGAATCTTTAACTATTTTTAATAAAACATCTAAGAAAACACTAAGATGCCTAATAGTCTACCACCTTAAGCCAAGAGAAACTTGTTTTTTCTTTTAATGGAACTAAAGAAACCAATTAAGCCAAGGGATGCTCTGTCCTACCTAGAGCTGCCAGGAATTCATGACAGCCTGGGAGCCGCCACAGCTGGACGCTGATGGAGACCTGGATGGGAGCCGATGCAAAGTCCTGCTCCTTCTCGCCGGCCTGCAGCTGAACCAGCACCTGGTGGAGCTGAGGAAGGGAGAACCGTGTGAGCGCTCCTTCCCTGCACCGCCTGCCCCTCCAGCCCTCCCAGGACTTGTCCCCAAGTTACTGTGTCACCTGTTGTCCTCATCACTAAGGAAGTGTGTATAGCATCTGAAGTCCCTCTCACTGTGCCTTCATGCCTACTGTCTAGCTGTCCTCTCTCTGGGGAGCTGTATGGGCAGTGGGGGCTACAGGTCACAGGCAGCCCCCAGGCAGGGTTTCTGCTGCCAGCCTGGCACCTTCCATCATGCGCCCTTGGCTGCAAGGCTACTGAACGCAGGAGAGCGACATGGGGATTAAGAGGCCAGGGCAGGCCATGGGACTGGTCACCTCCAAGTCATCACTACAATCTTGGGTTAAGTGGTGAAAAGCAGCGCAGCATTACACTTGGGCCTCAGCACTCTAGGAGCCCATGTGACCCACTGCGGTGCCTGTGGCGTTTCAGATTTCCTGAGTCCCTGAACTCTGCTTAGGGGTCTTGTGTGGGTTTAGAGTGTCACTCACTCAAACTTGCATCTGCCCTTGTTGTTCTGATGGAACTGGAAAGGTCAAATCAAGAACGAGAAGGGTGGAGCAGGAAAGGGGGAGCCAGAGCAGAGGAAGGGGCAGACCACCTGAGCCAGCAGCCCGGGGCACCCCACCCGGAGCGCGTGCTGGCCGTGCGTGTGGCTCAGAGAGACAGCGCATGTGCCCCGAGCTCAGAGCATGCCAGGGGAACTCGGGGTGGGCGGGAGCGGGCTCACCTGACAACAGTTGCTACTGAAAGTAGTACTCACCATTCCAACCATATTTTTAACAGCCTTCGGCCAGCAGATTATAAGAAAAAGAAAGAAAGAGAGAAAGAAGAGAGTTTAGACTCAAGCACAGGTGGTTATGCAACACAAGCTGATCACTGCTTAGGAAGCGCCACACCAGGCCCGCGGCTCTGACTGGGAGGGGACAGGAGCAAGAGTCAGCAGGACGCACAGGAAAACGAACAGCCACACCCAGGCCAGGCACGCTCAGGGTCAGGGTCAGCCAGGCCCTGCCCTGCCCTGCCAGGAGAGGACAGGGCAGGCCCCACTCAGAAAAGGGGCACATACAGGTCAGTCTGTAAACCAAAGTCCGTGGCTCCAGAGTGACCCAGGCAGGAAACCCCTGCGCTGCCTCCCAAACAAGAAATGAAGCAACTGCCTTTTTGGACATTTCAGAATGTAATTCTAGCTTCTCTTTTTGTAGAGCGCAGGCTTCTAGCCCTCCTGAGTTTAGGATATTTTACTATGTAATGTTCCAGAGGTATCTTCCTGATTCTATTCAACGAGCAGATGTAACACATTTGTGATAACAAATGTAGGGGCCAGATCACTGAGCTATGTTCCCAGTCGGGCTGGAAACAGCCCCAGGTAGGTGAGAGCTCCAGGCAGCACTCAGAGTTTTAGAGGTTAATCCGAGATGGAGCAGCTCTATTGCCACATGGAAATATTTCTGCTTAAAATGAAATCTGGTAAGTGTCTAATAACAATATATATTATTTTTTCAAATTATTATACTCCAAGGTAACTAAGAAAATGCTCTGTGCTCTTCAAGGGCTGCTATACCATCTAGAAGCCCTTCCACACACGGCTGTCTCCCTGGGGCTTGTTTCAGACCCTCACTGACCAACAGGAAGACCAGAAGCTCTGAGGCAAGTTGGGAAGGGCCTACATGGTGCTGAGAGTGAGACAGAATCTTGCAAATTCCTGAATTAGATCTATAAGAAAGCACATTGCTAAACACCTGCTAAGCTCTAAGCATCTTGCATAGGAGTTGACTTCGTGCTGACTCCTGTGCCTCGGTAGCTGTTTTGTTTCAGGCAGGGGCCATAGTTGGTCTGAGGATGAGTAGTGGAACATGGCATCTGTCCTTGCAGGCTGGCCCTGTACCTGCTGGCTTAGGGAAGGTGGCTGTAACACTTGTCAATGGGCTGAAGAAGTGGGTGGGTGGGTGGGGATGACAAGGTGCAGGAGGCCACTGAACGGAGAGTTCAGAAAATGCCCTGAGACTACAGGTCATGGGGGCCCCTTACACATCCTCTCAGGGCCCTAATGCTTTGGGACTCAGTGCCTGGAGTGGGGGCTGTAAGACCCTGCCCCTCAATGCCTGCAGTGCCAGGGGGGCTGTTCTCTTACTCCCAGCCCTTGCCATTTGCTCCAATCACAAAGGCTGAAAAATGCAATAAGAGTGCATTCCTTGCAAGTTTCTGTTTAGAGTCCAAAACCTCTGTCTTTGAGCCCTCAGCCTGGGCTCAGCAGTTCCTGCGGACTCACCCGGCTGATGAGCTGCTCGCCCGTCTCCGAGGCAGTGATGAGCTTGCAGAGGGCTTGCAGGGCCGGGCTGGGCAGACCTGAACCAAGAGGAAAGAGGTCACGTTATTTGGAGGGGCCTCTGCACCCACAGTCCTGCCTCCTTCCCGGGGAAAGCCTGACATATCTGCATTGGTAGGACTTTTAAAAGCTTGGGACAGCCAGGCATGTCCATCCATGTCTGACTCTGAAACAGAAAAAGTGGTCTCTGAGAGAAGGAGGTGGAGGCAGGGGCTGGCCCCGACCTGCTACAGTCCCCAGTGCATGGTCACACCCCGGCCCCGCCCCAGTGGCCTGGGCGCCGTCCCCCTGGGTGGAGCACGGAGGGCCCCTGGGCCCCAGCCCCGCTTCACTTGCTGGGGGCTGCGCAGCTTTGCTCAGACCCAAAGCTGCCAGGTCAGCATCCATGGCAGCTGTTTGCCCAGCATTCCCGCCCATCACCCCAGGAAGAGGCAGAGGGTGCGTGGCCATCACAGGTGGAAAGATGAGGCCAAAAGCATGTGTTTCCTCCGAACGTGGCTGCCCCCACTCTGCCTGCTGACAGACCCCTGCCCCGCCTGGGCTCACCCAGCAGGGACTGGACGGTGCTGCTGCACTGCTGGAGCCGGTCACCCGGGTCCGAGGTCGGGAAGAAGACGGCCGCCGGCAGGCCGCTGGCGGGGGGGTCCAGCCGGAAGCCCACAGCGGTGAGGAGGGCCTGCCAGCCAGGGATGCCACCCACTTTGTTCTCTACACTCTGCTGGGACGTGTACATGGCGTTGCGCTGCCCATTCTGGATGCGTTGCAGGGACTTCTCCACCTAGAAGGAAGCGCAGAGGGGAATGAGGTGCTGCCCTGCTCAGGGCCAAGACTGGTGTCTTCCCAGTGGCTTTTGGGGAGCACAAGGGCCCATGTGTGAAGCCACAGCAGGACTGACTGGCGCCCGGGCCTAAGGACCATGACACAGCAATGGGAGGGAGCAGAGGGAAAGGGGTTCCGGTCAGAGTCCACAGGCACTGGGGTGAAGAGTTGTCCCCAGTTCCTCCTGCTGCAGGCTCTGCTCCACAGATGCTAAAGGAGGATTCGTCTGAAGTCCAACCTCAGGTCGGGGCCTGAGCCATGCAGTGGCATCCCAGCACTAGGATAAGCCCACGGGCCTTTGAGACCCCTTCACTGCCCTGTGTATAACACACAGCAAGTAGTGCCCCTTCCCCGAGCCCCTGACTCGTGCTTCATCCGCAGCACTGCCGCCCCTCTGCCATCGAGCACCCCTCTCTTTCACCTCGTGAGGCCTAGGCCGGTGCTGGCACACTCAGGTGGATGCATCCTAGTACGGACAACGCTAGCTCCCCTGGGTATGCCCCATGGGCTTTCCGCAGCACCCCCACATCCCAGTCCTTCCCCTGGCAGTTCCTCTAGGGGAGACCTCAGTCCACCCTGAGATAGTGCATGCCCTGGGGCATGTGTGCCGCCACTAGAGGGGGCAGAAGAGCTGGCCAAGATGTCGCCTGAGACAGTAAAACCCTGGGATGCTGGGTGCTGACAACACAGGTGGGAGGCAGTAGGCCTTCTGGGCAAGACAGCCAGCCAGCCAGCTGACTGTCCAACGGGCTGGAACAGCCTTGGAAACACAGTGCCCACTAGGGTCAGGGGGCACCCAGGGTAGTTAGAAGGAAGTGAGGGCTGGTGAACTTGACCTCTGACCCATGTACTCAGCCCCAGGAGATGAAGCCGAGAAGAAATCCCTTAAATGTTCCTCATGGCCAGTGGGGAGCAGCCCAGAGGCCTGGCTTTGCTCCATAGCCCGGCCTTGGAGAAGAAAGTCAGGTGGGTAGTGAGAGCAGTTCACTTATTTAAGAAATAGCTTGGGGGCTGCAGCAACGAAGGATGGTGACTTCAGGGTGACAGGGACCTGGAAAGGGTCCCTAGTGCTGAGCAACTTAAAGGCTCTGTGCAGTTTCCAGGCACAGGTTAAAATCTACTGAGACAGTCTGCTGAGATTCTCAAGGCACGCGGGCACAGCTACCCTGCAGCAGATGGCATGGGCCACCTCGAGTGTGGCGGGAGCACTCTGGGGATTTCCAGGCTATATCATTCCTGCCTGTGTACACAATGATTTCTTTCAGGCAGACCCCAGGCTAAAGAAGCGATGTGACTGACTTATATCACTGGGGGCTACCATCCCCAGGCCCAAGGGGCAGTAAGTTTGCCCAGCCCAGGGCCTCGGGGGAGCGCCTCCCCAGTCCTCCCCCTCCTGAGCAGACAGCCATGGTGTCCACACCTCCATCCCAGGCAGCTGCAGGGCAGCTGCTTGGCTCAAGTTTAGAAAGAGCCCGGATATGGTTTGTGCTGCCCATCCATGCCTGTGGCCCCCAGGCTGGTCCTCTGGCCCAGAACCCCAAGGAGGCTAAGAATCCTAAATCATCTGAAACAGCCTTCTGCGTTATCGAGATGGAAGGGTGCCACAAGTCTTATGTCACTGTTTCTGGGCTTGATTCATAACTCTAAACGTGCAGACAATGGCGTGGGGCCTGTCTGTACTCTTGCCCAGTCCCACGAAGGTCGGGGCTGCCCAGGAGCAGTGTGAGGCTTGGACTCTTGCCAACTGAATTTAGGGGAAGGCTGGCATCATCTGATATAAAACACCACCTCTCAGCTACTCTGTGTGTGCCAGCCACTCACCCTTTCTCTAATTCTCATGATAACCTTGAAAAGTTAATGTTTTATCTCCATTGAGTCTCAGCGGGCCAAGGTGACTTGCCCAAAGCCACGGGGCCCGGAAACAGCCGTGGTGTGGGCCCTTGCACACGGCCACTCCTCACTGCCCCTCTCTCAGGCCTTGGTGAGGACGCTGCACCACACCGCCGTCGTGCCCACCGCAGGCCAATGGGCTCAACCTGGAGGCAGTGTCCCCTCCACACTCGTGCCCCTGGTGCTGGGGAAACCCTGGAGCCGCCCACTTCCTCTCGTGCACCCACAGCCAGCTCTCCGGGGCCGCCTGCTCCTCATCGGGTGAGGCCCCCTTACCAGGTGCAGCAGCACTCGCAGGGCATCCCGTGCACGCTCCGGATGCTGTAGGATCTCTGTGAGGGCCTGGCCGATGAGTGACGAGGGACTGTTCAGCTTAACGTCGCTCCCGATGAGCAGGAACCCTGGGGAGGGGAGGGAAGGGTGCCTCAGGGCCAGGCCGTCTGGTCCCCACGGCCCGCCCAGGCTCAGCGTTGCCCACTGGCTGCGGGCCCTCTGACTCCCTGCAGGGCACTTGGTGCCCCTTCTGTCCCCTTCCTTTTAAGAATTGATACTGTTCCACTGCTTAGTAAGCGAAGAGGTGTTTTGTCGTGAGAGGGCTTCTGCTTGCCTGCTGAGAAAAGGCAGGAAAGGCTGTGTGGCCCCAGGGCTGGCGCCCAGGTCCCCAGGGTCCTTCCCCGGCTTGGCCACTGTTCCCGGGAATGACCTCCCTGTTCTCCTGTTAGCTCATCTGTGTTTGTCAGGAGCATGTCTGGGACGGAGCCACCACAGGAGAGGGAGGGGGGAGGTGCCCCCAGATGTGGGGGGGAGCAGGCAGCGGGGCTGGGAGAGCCTCACCCGCCAGGACTGGCCTCTTCCTTCCGCACCCACTGCTGTGAGCAGGGCCTTGGGGAGACAGGCACCTTCTCAAGCTACCAAGCAACTTTGGGACCAACATGCTCCCCCAAAAAATGGAAGGAAAGGATTTTCTAAGAGAATGAACAAGCCGAGGCTGTTTCTAAGGGCAACAGGCAATATTATTCAACATTTTCCCCACAACAAAGCTGTGACTTTTATACTGTCTGTCACTGAAACTACACAAGGACAAAAGTACCATGTCTCTAACCATGTCTATAATGCTGGGAAGATGGAGAGGGGAGTCTCACACAAAGGGGCCTGTCAGGAATAAATGGCCAAGGGCAGGGGCCGGGTTCCCACAACCGCTGCAGCTTGTTCTGTGGGACCGTGCAGGGCCGAATCGGCTGCTGCCTGGCAGGAGCGTTCTTAACACACGCCGCGTGCTGAGGACGATCCCAGGAGCCCTGCTCTCACTGCACACCTGCAGCCCCCGGGAGCACGCAGCTCAGCAGCACAGCCAGGCCCAAACCCTCAGTGCCCCCGGCCCCTCGCGGACCGGGGTGGGCGGGAGGTGGAGGGCACGAGAGAGGGTGTGTGAGGGGCAGGACGAGCGCTACTTCGTCTCTGCATGCCTTTTTGAAAAATACTGCAGGTGCGTGTGCTGGTGAAGTGAACAGAGGTTTCCATTTCCTAACACATGGCTCACCACTTGCTGGCCGACGGGGCCCAGGAACTCGTGGTGCCACTTTGGGGTTGTCCCCCCTTGGAAAATGACACCAGCGACATCCTCACGTCTAAGCGTTCTGTTCTGAGAGGTCTTCCTCTCAAGATGAAAGCCATTTTGTTCCCAGTTTTAAAATATATACATGGATGGCATATGTTGCGATTAACACAATAAAATGTGTATGTATGTTTGAAAACAGTGTTTTTGGTGTTCCTCTGTTCCTCAAGGTTTCAAACACTCTTGTTCGGTCGGCTGGTACCACCGTTCGGGAACTGGTGGGACATTCCCTCTGCTCTGGAGTGCCCAGGCTGGGAGACCCCCAGACCGGAGGGTCACAGGTGTGTCTGCACACCACCGGGTGGGGGTCCGCCTGGGCCGGGTCTGGACTCTGAGGACCACAGCCTGTCAGGTTGGGCCTCCTGCCTGGGAGGGTGCACAACTCTCCACACGCAGCTGAGAGGCAGAGTCCCCTGAATAACCGGATGTCATGGGGAACGTGCTCCCTCACCCCCAAGCCTCTGTGCCCCTGCGGCAGACCCCCCAGAGCCCCGCCCTTGGCCCTCCAGAATGTGCAGTGCCCCACAGGTCACAAGACACTCAACCGCCTCCTCACAGGTCCCCTCGGATGTGGGCAGGGAGGTATCATCAGCCCTGCTGGTAACCCTTTGTTACCACTGAGGACACTGGGCATCAGAGAGGGTAAGAAACCTGCGTCAGGTCACACAGCCGGAACACGGAGCCAGATCAAAACCAAGTCTTCCCATGACTGAATCCAGGGTCTTTCTACCACACTGCTCACTTGTACAGCCACAGGAGTTTACATGATGGCGCCCTAAAATGGGTCACCCACTGCACACTAGCCTAAGGAGGAGTTTGACATTCACACTCCAGTGGCCAACCGCCCTGCCGTTCCTGGTGAAAAGTCTGCTTTAATACCACAGGAATGAAAGGCTGATTTGGCAGAGGGCCAGAGTCCCGGCCAGCGCCGCTCTCCCCGCCTCTCCCCGCGCGGCCTTTCCCCGGGGCCCCTGCCCTCCCACCCCCAGCAGGGGCGCGCTGAGGACCGACCCCCGAGGTTCCTACCTGCCCAGTTGGAGGGGTGCGAGAAGGCCTTGCTGCTCTGCACCGCCTTCATGGCCTCCCCCAGGGCAGCGCTGGCTTTCAGGCCGTTCAGCAGGGACGAGTAGAAGGCGTGGAGAAACATCTTGGAGGCGGCCACGGGCACTGGCCACAGGGACACGAGGACGCACTGCGCGCCCGCGGCCAGGAAGGCGCGCGTTAGCGCGACGACACCGTCGGCTGTGGCTTTGCTGTTGGACTCCTGGGAGGAGCCCAGGACCACCAGCTTCACCGGAAGCCGCAGGTCCAGGACGTCGGCGGCCGTGAGCAGCAGCTCCTGCAGGGGCGGGCAGTCCGAGATGCTCTCCCCGTCGCTGGCGTCGTCCTGCACCCGCAGGGACTCGGGGATCGTGTAGGGGTGGCCAAAGGAGCTCTTGCTGCCGGCGGGGTTGCCCTCCGCGCTGGGCGTGAGGACCAGCGCTGACAGCTTCCAGGAGATGTGGGTGGCAAAGTGGGCACACTCGGCCTGGGTCAGGGCGCTCATAACCCTCTCTTTGGTGGCCACGCTGCCCACCAGGGGCTGGCAGCCCAGCAGCTCCGATACCATGTAGGCCTCCTCCTCGGCCGACGGCATGGGCCCCCACAGCCACCTGTCCATCACCGCGGACGGGAGCTTGGGGTTGCCGATGACGGCTGCCATGGATGTGGAGCTGGAGCACGCGGGCGGGTTCCTCCTCAGGTGGGTCTGGGCCGGGAGGAAAGAGAAGCGGGGGGTCAGGCGGCGCCGGGGGCCCAAGGCTCTCAGGGCGGGGCGGGGCCCCCGAACCAGCAGCCCCTCCTTCATCCAGCAGCGCGTGTTACTAAGAATCAAACCTGCCGTGAGAAGCTCCGGAAAATAATCCGGGCCCTTCCCGCCCGTCAGGCCCAGGAGGCCTGGGGCTCTGATGGGTCAGAGTGGGTGGGAGGTGAGGGTCTGGTGCCAGCCCGCCCCACGGCGCTCACCCCCACAGGCCTCCCTGTGAGCCCCTCAATAAGGGGAGCCCGTTCCACATGAGACAAGGGCTTTGAGGGGTGACTTTGTGCAAACTGTGCAAAAAGCAAGTCAATCTTCAGGCAGACAGCCAAATCACATCCCTTAGGGGTGCAGGGTACTGAAAAGATCACAGTTCTCTTCATTTTGTATGTTGCAAGATAAAAACATCACCGAATTATAAAACCGGCCGAGAGAAGTCCAACAGACCTCTGGTTCTCCCCCAGACTTTGGATGCTTTTGTGAAAACATTACCAAATTATTTTTTAAATAACTTTTTTGGTTATATTTTGAAACTATTTTTCAAAATAACTGCTTGGAGACACCTCAGATTTGGGTAAGAGAAATGCCTGCTGGGTGCCTGCTGGGAGACAGGACTCGTGCACTCCCTGGCCAAGGTGGCAAACGGCCAGCGTGCTGTTGTCCTCAACGTGAAGCTCTGTTTGCACGGCTGGGCCCTGGGCGCTCCTGCGGCAGTGCCACGAGCCCGCCCTCTGCACAGGGCAGCATCTGCTCTGCAGCCTGGGGCGCGCAGCCAGCCACAGACTCCCGAAAACTCCGAGAAAATTGTTTCTTTCACTTTGAATTGATTCTGTCCCACGGGAAATGTACAGTTCAGCAACAGAAACTGTCAAAACCGAGATCTTCAAAACCTGAGGAGGTGGAGTCCGGGTTTGAACCTTGCTGGGAACCAGGGTCAGCGGAGACAGCGGCAGACCCGGTGGGGGCAGCCTGGGGCCTGGGGTCTGGGTGCCTCCCCCGGCGGGGGGGGGGGGAGGCGTGTCTGGCATCAGAGGGCCTCTGAGAGCAGCTGGCAGCCCAAGGGCATGTTTAAGTTTGAAGACAGAGCAGCTTGGGTCCCCGGTGAGGACGGGCCTGCTGCTGGGCAGGGGCACTAGGGCCGCGGGGGCTCAGAAGGGTGCCTGGGTTTGGGGTCCCCGAGTGCGTCTGGGACGAGGATGCAGAATGGGCTCAGAAGCCTCTCTGACCAGGCAGGCAGGGCCCAGGGAGGCTGTGGGCTGAGACCCACTGCCACCCTTCTGATCCTCACAGACGTTTCTTCCATACTGAGTTTTTTTGCTGAATGAGACCCAAGTCCCTGCCGCTCCCCTGGGAACCAGCTCATTTGGTCTGAGGTTCCTCTGTTGGCCTGAGGCGGCCTGGGCACTAGTCAGCGGCGAGCCTGAGGCTGGGCCGAACGTGGCCTTGCCGCCCCCAGCGTCTCCCTGGGGGTCGTGTGTGCTGGTGGGTAACCAGCTTCCTCAGACTTCCTCCAGCCTGACTCAGGGCCTCCAAGCAGCTCACCACCATGTCAGCACAGTAAGAAACTGGGAGAGGAATGACCCAAACATGGCTTCCTGAGGCAGAAAGAACTGTCGGGCTAGAAGAAGGGCTGTCCCCCTACCTTCACACAGACCCACGCCGGTCATAGACCCAGCTGCAACCTACAAAATAGATATTATGAAGAGATCACATCCAATCCCTTAGCAGCCCAGTCTGGCCAGGAAGCCCATGCCCCGAGGACGCTCCGCAGCGTGCCCTGGAGCCTTACCTTGGACTGTGGGCCAAGGGAGCGGACGGAGGGGACGGCGATGAGAGCAAAGCGCTCGTACAGGTACTCGTTGGAGGAGCTCCCCTTCAGGAGGGCGAAGGGGATGAGGTAGAGCTCCCCCTCCAGAACCAGGATGAGCTGCCGGTGCCGGCCGACCGGGCCGCTGGAGTGCATCAGGCCCTGCAGAGCAAGCACACGGCAGCTGACACAGGCTCCCGAGCAGTGGGCAGCAGCACCCGGAAGGGACCAGGCGGGTTCAGAGGGCCCACTGGAGAGTGTGCATGCTAGGGTGCTGGGGTGCCAGGGCCTCTGCCTGCCTCCTGGGCCCAAAGAGGAGGTCAGAGGACAGTGTCTCCAAGGCAGCAGGGCAGGAGACTGGGGTCACCAGCCGGGGCAGGTGGGTGGGGCTTGTCCCACAAAGACAAGGACCAGCCCCAGCAGATCCAGACGTTTCTATGGGAGGCAGGGAATTGGCCCAGAAGGAGCTCGGCGGGCCATGCAGTGGCCCAGGGGCACAGGGCTGGGGGCGCTGCCTCGGCACAGGGGCCTTGAGAGCTGGTAGGAATGACTCCTCTCAGCAGACAGTGAGAGCTGACCTGGGGGGCATGTCGCCCACAGGCAGTGAGAGCTCCACCTGGGTGGGCATGTCACCCACAGGCAGTGAGAGCTCCACCTGGGGTGGGGGGTGTCGCCCACAGGCAGTGAGAGCTCCACCTGGGGTGGGGGGTGTCACCCACAGGCAGTGAGACCTCCACCTGGGTGGGTGTGTTGCCCACTTCTACCAACAACCACCAGAGTCCAGATGGAACCTTCAGGAACCAGGGCAGCAGCCCCTGGAGGAGTAGGGTTCCGGATTCAGGACCCTCCATGGCCTCCGGGCCTCTGTGCGGTCCCTGAGGAGGCAGAGGCTGGACCCTCAGCCCCAGCTCTGCAGGTGCTGTCCCCACTCGCTCCACTGGGCTCTCAGGGGCTCTACTGCACTGAGGTGACACCCTTCACTCCTGAAGGGGCCCCCTTGAGGGCCTGGGCGCAGGTTGCACGCAGGCCCACAGCAGACAGACACCCTGGTTCCTGCTGTCTACACACATTTCTTTCTAGAAGAGTCACTGCTGGAGACCGAGGCCATGTGAATCCTGAAAAAATAAGCAGGCAGCAACCGTGGACATGACTTGACACAGGCTGACGGGAATGAAGAGGCGAGCAGGAGCTGTGTCTGGTGCTCAAGGAGACAGGCCAGAGCCCGCAGGGAGGAGCATGCGTGTCAGGGGTGGGGCTGGCTCTGTGGGAAGCCCTCACCGCAGGGCGTCCACTGCGCAGAGCACCCAGGGTGCCGCTGTGCAAGGAAGCCAATGTGCACGCCTAATCCATCTGACACTGTCCTGCAGGCACTCGGCTGTGGGTGGCAGAAGGCACTCTGCTAACCCAAAGTGACATGTGCCTGGTGGGACATTCAGTCTGTACAGACCCCCTGTGGCTTTCTTTTTTAAATTCTAGATGCATGTAAAGAAAGCAGAAATAAAAATTATTAAGCCAATTGGCTTCTTGTTTTAAGTGCTATTTTCCAATTAGAGTAAAAGAACATTGCACAGCCCAAGAGGGGAGAAGCGGGTGTGCCACAGTGGCCCTTCTAGTGACTGTGATGTGCCCGGGCTGGCACCAGGAGGGGTGAGGGTGGGTGCTGGCAGCCCTGCCCCACACCAGCTGTCAGTTCCCGGGCCCACTGTGCCTGCAGTGGGCCATCACGGAGGCCCCTGCCTGGGCCTGCAGGGGGAGTGGCTCTGGGACGCCCCTCTGGAGGGCAGTGCCATGCCCTGCTACAGTGTGCCACCCGGACCTGGAATTGGGCCAGAGCAGCTGGGCTGAATGGTACCTGGGCCAGCAGCTGTGGCAGGGACAGCCACTACTGCCCAGTGAGAGCCCTGCTGCCCGACAAGTGGGCGACATGGGGGCTTAGGCCACTGGCCATGTATAAAATGACCCATCCTCGACTGAGCTGGCATCGCCAGGTGGTGCTGGAGGAGACGCCAGCCGCACCCCTGCACATCCCCTCTGGATGCCTGCTGCCAGGGCCTGAACTCCAAGAAGTCTCTGTCAGGTGTCACCCCACAGGACGCTGAGCACAGGACACACACCACTCTCACCCGCGTCCGCGGTCCCGACAGCACCTACACGTGGGAACCAAAGGCGACTCAGGGAGCACCGGGCTGGGTGGGAGGGGGGCACGGGCTGCGAGCCACGTTGGGGAAGGGGTGGCCGGCTGAGTGTCTCCACGGGGCCTCTGCTAACTCCGCCCGCAAGTGGCCGTCACACCTGGGGCACAAGCCTAGACATGGGTGACCTCATGTCCCTGAAAGGCGGCTTGGGTCTCTTCTCCGACAAGTGATCTGACCTTTCTACGAGGGCAGCCATCTATGTCAGAAGTCCTTCTCCACACTGGCCTCAGCTTCTCCGGCAGCCATCGCAGTGCTATCGTGATGCCTACGGTGGGCCGTGGGGAGGCCAAATAAGTGAAAGATTCAGGTCCTGCTTGGGGCCTTACCATCACGGACTCAGAAAAAGAATGTGTACCAGGAGCCACTACAGAGTGAGGCAGTGTCAAATATAAGAGCACCACGGAAGTCTAACATGCCAGCCCCAGAGGGTGGCTGTGCCTACCTGGGACACAATGCTGAGCCCCACCAGGAGGCTACTGCACAGAGGGCTGTGGAGGGCCGGGCCGGACCGGGCCTGGGCAGGTGGGGCCCCAGGGGCAGGTGGAGCGGGACACAGGAGTCAGACTGTGGCTCTCGACGGGCCGTAAGGACCTGCCCTGCGTCCTCCACTACGGAGCCTCCGAGGAAGCATTCAGAGGCATCCTGTGGCACAGGCGATGGGGCTGCGCATGGTGATTCAGGCAAGGAGATGTACCTCCAGATTCGGGGACAAGGAGACTTGCCAGGACTTGGTGAAGAGTGAGTGTAGGGGTGAGGAGACGGACACCTCTGAAATCCTAGCCTGGGACACTGGGAGGCTCTTGTCTGAATGGACTGCACATCCCAGTCCACAGGTCTGGGTCCTCTGCGGACAGCGCCTCGTGGCTGGCATGGAGCTGGCACGTGTGGACAGCCTTTAATGAGGGCCCTGGATGGGACTGGAAGGAGCTGGGTGACAGCAGCACCAGCTTGTGGGCAGACAGACTGCATGGCAGACTGACAGCCATCATTAAAAGACAGTGGGAAAATGATTAAAGATTGTGGAAAGATGCCCTAGAAACCGTCTACAAAATGCTGCCCTTGTGGTGGAAGATTAGCTATAAGCCAATGTGAACTTGAAAACAGAAAATTAAGTGATCTCTCTATCCAAGTACATATCATCTGTTGGGTGAAAAGGGAGAGAGAATTCAAGGAAATGCTCCTCTGTGCCCCTGTGCATCAGTCCAGAAAGGGTATCCGCCGGATCTGTACGTCCACAGTTTGGAAGATAAAAGGCCTCGGCATCAGCCCCAAGCCAGCAGCTCATAGTCCAGCAAGTTGCAGCAAAGAGGGGACTTGGTGACCTCTGAAGTCTCTAAAAAGTTCTACTTTCTCTGGAAGTAGGACGGGACTGGTGGCCAGGTGTACGACAATGCATCTGTTCCCCCTGCTGTCTGACCAGCAGGCTGGCCAGGAGGGAAAGGAGGGCGCATCCTGCAGGGAGGCCTGGCAGCAGGTGGAGGCAGGCTAAGGCCCAGGGCTCTGCAGAGGGAGAGGGCTGTTCCTTTAGATGGGGTGGGCAGGCGGCTCCGGAGGGCTGCTCTCCATTTATGGCCTCTCAGCTGCTCACACCCCATCACTGACACCCGTGACTCCTGCGTGGCAATACGCCGATTCCTGCAGCCGTCTCCTATCAAGTGACCACCACGCTGAGCTTTCTCAGGAGGGTGCTGAGGGGCACTGTAGGGGAAAGGGGTCTCCTCCCAGCCTAGGTCAGCGGGGGTGTGTGTGTGTGTGTGAGGACATCTGGGAGCCCAGAACTTAGCCCTTCTGCAACCTTGCACCCTCAGCCTAGGATAACCACGCCTCAGCCCTCGATATATAGAAACCAGGGCCTGCGACCCTGGACACTCCACCCACAGTCACCTGGGCTCCCACTGCACACCCTGCCATCAGGAGCCGATCGCCTGGCTGCTGCCTGCATGCAGAGAGTGGCCTCTTGCTCACTTGGAGGCTCTAGGCTGGTTCTGGCCCAGCCAAACCAGTGACCGTCTGGCTGGGCAGCAGGCTGAGCCGCCCTCTCCAGTGCATCCTGCCTTGGGTGCACTTCCTCGGCCCTGAGACCCGCACAGGGAGAGCTGCCTTCCATCATACAGGTCCTGTCTTACCACAGGGAATAGGCCTTCACGTTAAAGGGTCCCGGGGTAAGCTACTGTGTGGCTTCTGTCAGCAGACCAGACACAGACGGGAAGCCTTGCCCAGTGAGCAGGAAGAAGGTGCACTGCAGGAGGTGCCTCTGCTGCAGGCTCTGGGTCAGCCTGCTGTGTCAGGAGCTGCTGGGGACCTGGAATGGCGAGATCGTGGGGTGTGTGGTGAAGGTTGGCAGTGGGTGGTGGTTCTGAGCACGTTGGCAAGACATGTACATCCCTGCACCTCAGTTTCCAAACCCACCAGATGGCACTCATGTTGACCACCTCCAGGGCCTACAGGACAAAGCCAGCGGCAGCTGTGGATGGGGCACTGTGCCTGCACCCAGCGGGCACGCAGTGTGTACTGGTCAAAGGTCAATTCACAACCATCTTCAGGTGCTTGAAGTAAGTTGAGCTCAGGCCCTATTACTTATACTATTATTTTCTCCTGAAACTCAATCACTTTTCCAGTACAACTCATTCCCTTCCCCTCTGGTGTCTATAAACATTCACATGGCTAAGGCACATAAATGGCCTCTCTGGAGCTGGACTGGAGCACCAGTCCCGGCCTCGCCCAGGGACTAAGAGGGACTGAAGGCACCAGCAGCTTTCTCCTCCTCATGTCACCATCACCATCCAAAGCTATTTCCTGAGCGTCCATGACACCTGACACCTGGGGAATCTGCCACCAAGCAATTACTCTGAGGTCAAGTTTCCGAGTCTGCGGTTCTCCCCAACAACCCCCACAGATCTCCAGTGTTTTCTTGGGTGGCAAATTCAGATTCAATGCCATTCTGATCAGCGGGGATCATCTATATAT